TCATGAAAATTATAAAAGCTAACGCATTTTATCTTGCATTTAATTTGAAAATGTCCAGTATTGTAACAGTTTTGCACAAACCGGCGAATCAGCCTAGACTACATCCTACCCAGAATATACCCGGGGATATTATAGGCTATACTGCTTTATATCCGGGGCTACGATAGTTTATATCCCAAGGTATAAAACATGAATATACCCCTTACCTTTTGCATATAACACGTATAGTACTACATTGCCAGAAGAAAACAGCTATCGCAGACCATGCAGTGATCTCAGAACTGCCGATATATCTTGTGCATTGAAATCTACATGCCACAATATTAAACTCAAACTTGAAATACTCATTCATGGTCCTAATTTGTGGAAATACTGTCATTAATAATTTTGTATACTGTACAGGCTGCGGTGTTTTGAAAATTTGTCATGTGATTTTTGTGACAAGGGTCTGGACAAGTATGCAATTGATGATAGTCAAAATTGAAAAATACTAACCATTTCTGAATTTGTAACAGATATTTTATGTGGTCTGTGCATTAGTACTGGTATTATCGTTAATATCTTGATTTCCAACATCTAGATTATAGTAATAATATCATTACTATTATTACCATTATAATTATTTATTCACTTATCTTTTTTATTATTCCCATTACCATTATCAACTTATCATCATCATCATCATTAGTAGTAGTAGTAGTAGTAGTAGTAGTAGTAGTAGTAGTAGTAGTAGTAGTAGTAGTAGTAGTAGTAGTAGTAGTAGTATTGTTGTTGTTGCTATTACTATTGCTATTACTATTGCTATTACTATTGCTATTACTATTGCTATTACTATTGCTATTACTATTGCTATTACTATTGCTATTACTATTGCTATTACTATTGCTATTACTATTGCTATTACTATTGCTATTACTATTGCTATTACTATTGCTATTACTATTGCTATTACTATTGCTATTACTATTGCTATTACTATTGCTATTACTATTGCTATTACTATTGCTATTACTATTGCTATTACTATTGCTATTACTATTGCTATTACTATTGCTATTACTATTGCTATTACTATTGCTATTACTATTGCTATTACTATTGCTATTACTATTGCTATTACTATTGCTATTACTATTGCTATTACTATTGCTATTACTATTGCTATTACTATTGCTATTACTATTGCTATTACTATTGCTATTACTATTGCTATTACTATTGCTATTACTATTGCTATTACTATTGCTATTACTATTGCTATTACTATTGCTATTACTATTGCTATTACTATTGCTATTACTATTGCTATTACTATTGCTATTACTATTGCTATTACTATTGCTATTACTATTGCTATTACTATTGCTATTACTATTGCTATTACTATTGCTATTACTATTGCTATTACTATTGCTATTACTATTGCTATTACTATTGCTATTACTATTGCTATTACTATTGCTATTACTATTGCTATTACTATTGCTATTACTATTGCTATTACTATTGCTATTACTATTGCTATTACTATTGCTATTACTATTGCTATTACTATTGCTATTACTATTGCTATTACTATTGCTATTACTATTGCTATTACTATTGCTATTACTATTGCTATTACTATTGCTATTACTATTGCTATTACTATTGCTATTACTATTGCTATTACTATTGCTATTACTATTGCTATTACTATTGCTATTACTATTGCTATTACTATTGCTATTACTATTGCTATTACTATTGCTATTACTATTGCTATTACTATTGCTATTACTATTGCTATTACTATTGCTATTACTATTGCTATTACTATTGCTATTACTATTGCTATTACTATTGCTATTACTATTGCTATTACTATTGCTATTACTATTGCTATTACTATTGCTATTACTATTGCTATTACTATTGCTATTACTATTGCTATTACTATTGCTATTACTATTGCTATTACTATTGCTATTACTATTGCTATTACTATTGCTATTACTATTGCTATTACTATTGCTATTACTATTGCTATTACTATTGCTATTACTATTGCTATTACTATTGCTATTACTATTGCTATTACTATTGCTATTACTATTGCTATTACTATTGCTATTACTATTGCTATTACTATTGCTATTACTATTGCTATTACTATTGCTATTACTATTGCTATTACTATTGCTATTACTATTGCTATTACTATTGCTATTACTATTGCTATTACTATTGCTATTACTATTGCTATTACTATTGCTATTACTATTGCTATTACTATTGCTATTACTATTGCTATTACTATTGCTATTACTATTGCTATTACTATTGCTATTACTATTGCTATTACTATTGCTATTACTATTGCTATTACTATTGCTATTACTATTGCTATTACTATTGCTATTACTATTGCTATTACTATTGCTATTACTATTGCTATTACTATTGCTATTACTATTGCTATTACTATTGCTATTACTATTGCTATTACTATTGCTATTACTATTGCTATTACTATTGCTATTACTATTGCTATTACTATTGCTATTACTATTGCTATTACTATTGCTATTACTATTGCTATTACTATTGCTATTACTATTGCTATTACTATTGCTATTACTATTGCTATTACTATTGCTATTACTATTGCTATTACTATTGCTATTACTATTGCTATTACTATTGCTATTACTATTGCTATTACTATTGCTATTACTATTGCTATTACTATTGCTATTACTATTGCTATTACTATTGCTATTACTATTGCTATTACTATTGCTATTACTATTGCTATTACTATTGCTATTACTATTGCTATTACTATTGCTATTACTATTGCTATTACTATTGCTATTACTATTGCTATTACTATTGCTATTACTATTGCTATTACTATTGCTATTACTATTGCTATTACTATTGCTATTACTATTGCTATTACTATTGCTATTACTATTGCTATTACTATTGCTATTACTATTGCTATTACTATTGCTATTACTATTGCTATTACTATTGCTATTACTATTGCTATTACTATTGCTATTACTATTGCTATTACTATTGCTATTACTATTGCTATTACTATTGCTATTACTATTGCTATTACTATTGCTATTACTATTGCTATTACTATTGCTATTACTATTGCTATTACTATTGCTATTACTATTGCTATTACTATTGCTATTACTATTGCTATTACTATTGCTATTACTATTGCTATTACTATTGCTATTACTATTGCTATTACTATTGCTATTACTATTGCTATTACTATTGCTATTACTATTGCTATTACTATTGCTATTACTATTGCTATTACTATTGCTATTACTATTGCTATTACTATTGCTATTACTATTGCTATTACTATTGCTATTACTATTGCTATTACTATTGCTATTACTATTGCTATTACTATTGCTATTACTATTGCTATTACTATTGCTATTACTATTGCTATTACTATTGCTATTACTATTGCTATTACTATTGCTATTACTATTGCTATTACTATTGCTATTACTATTGCTATTACTATTGCTATTACTATTGCTATTACTATTGCTATTACTATTGCTATTACTATTGCTATTACTATTGCTATTACTATTGCTATTACTATTGCTATTACTATTGCTATTACTATTGCTATTACTATTGCTATTACTATTGCTATTACTATTGCTATTACTATTGCTATTACTATTGCTATTACTATTGCTATTACTATTGCTATTACTATTGCTATTACTATTGCTATTACTATTGCTATTACTATTGCTATTACTATTGCTATTACTATTGCTATTACTATTGCTATTACTATTGCTATTACTATTGCTATTACTATTGCTATTACTATTGCTATTACTATTGCTATTACTATTGCTATTACTATTGCTATTACTATTGCTATTACTATTGCTATTACTATTGCTATTACTATTGCTATTACTATTGCTATTACTATTGCTATTACTATTGCTATTACTATTGCTATTACTATTGCTATTACTATTGCTATTACTATTGCTATTACTATTGCTATTACTATTGCTATTACTATTGCTATTACTATTGCTATTACTATTGCTATTACTATTGCTATTACTATTGCTATTACTATTGCTATTACTATTGCTATTACTATTGCTATTACTATTGCTATTACTATTGCTATTACTATTGCTATTACTATTGCTATTACTATTGCTATTACTATTGCTATTACTATTGCTATTACTATTGCTATTACTATTGCTATTACTATTGCTATTACTATTGCTATTACTATTGCTATTACTATTGCTATTACTATTGCTATTACTATTGCTATTACTATTGCTATTACTATTGCTATTACTATTGCTATTACTATTGCTATTACTATTGCTATTACTATTGCTATTACTATTGCTATTACTATTGCTATTACTATTGCTATTACTATTGCTATTACTATTGCTATTACTATTGCTATTACTATTGCTATTACTATTGCTATTACTATTGCTATTACTATTGCTATTACTATTGCTATTACTATTGCTATTA